GATAAAATTCCGAACGTTTGCCCAGAGGCGTTTCTTTCTGACTTCGAAAATGAATCATGAAGTAATGTCTCGCAGCTGATGAAATAAACAGATTCACGAATACAGGGAGAGTCGACTTCGACTATGGAAACTGCAATTTCCAAATGAAATGCAGGTATTGCCCTTTTGTAAAGGTACGATAGGCGTTCATAGACTCTAAGTCGTTCACATGGTGTATCCAATCAGAAGTAACCTACTAATATGTATTGTAACGAAATTACTAGCTACAGCATTATGACAGGTTTTAGATAGATAGATAGATAGATAGATAGATAGATAGATAGATAGATAGATAGATATGAATGACATATAAACAAATAGAAATATGCTTAATGGCTTATATATATATATATATGTGTGTGTGTGTGTGTGTGTGTGTGTGTGTGTGTGTGTGTGTGTGTTAGTTAGTTAATGAAGTTATTTGGTAATCTGTATAAATAATTCCAAGGAGGATGTAATCTAGAGACCTCAATGTAAAAACAGGCCAAAAATATCAGATCTACATTTACATTCAAAAATATTGGAATCACCAATATTTTTGTATGAAACTGAGAGCTAATGAATTAGAATCAAAATTCCGGTCCTAAGGAAATAAATTATAATCCCGTGAACCCTTAAAGTTGTGTGTTTTTAATATATATATATATATATATATATATATATATATATATATATATATATATATATAGAGAGAGAGAGAGAGAGAGAGAGAAATTATGTTACGTGAAAGACTACATTAGATTAAATATTTCTTTTATTGATTAAATGGATAGAATGGGAACGAAATGCAACAAACACCAGTTACAATTATATATCGAAAGTAACGTTGAAGATTCAGGGGCAGTGAACTTGGTGTCCGATCCATCTCAATGTAGAATTTAAGCGACCTCATTCAGTTTTATATCCCTTTTGTTTGTTTGTTTTTTCCTATCGTTATTTAAATATCCCACATTGTATTTTGTAATAGGAAATGTTATAGGCTGTATGATTCTTGGCGTAAATTCAATGAAGAAGACTCAGACATTTGGGCACTTTCTATACATTTTCGCTTTAATAAATTCCTTTTTTAATTCCAGATCTAAGTTGAATTTATGATCAGCCTTAATACGATGCTTTTTTTTGCTTGTAAAATCTCTTTCATAAGATTCCATTTCTGTTCGTGTATCCTTTTATTAAAATTCCTTAATGTTGACCTACACACTTCAAGACATTTTAAATTATATCATGTAAATTCCTGCTTCTGATTAAGGCTGTTATTATTTTGCTTTTTATTAATATTTTTTTATAAATGACATTTCTTGATTGTTTTTCAATTGCTATAACATTTTTTTATTTATTTTTTAATTGGTATCATCCCAAGTAAGGCAGTATAGCTACTAGCCCGCAAGGAGTTACGGGATATCGAGAAATTAAGAACAGAAGCATTGATAATAGGTAGAAAGAGAAAAAAAAGCAATCAGGATGACAGTACAGAGCGATTGAATTTGCATTTAAATTTTTGGAAATAGAGCCGGAAGGGAGTCCCACAAGAGAGAAGTGCGTGAAAAGAAATTGTCAACATAGATGTTACGGTTACATGTAGCCAGCTCAACTCTAAAGTCTAGTATTGCGCTTAAATTCATACAGTCTAGGTGCCATAGCTAAGACCTCATCTAAACAATGGAAGTATTTGTAGAAAAATCTCAAAGATGCAACCGTACGGCGGTGGGAAAGTTACTCAAGCCGAGCCGTCAGATCAGGGCCAATAATATTGCTGATTCTTCTTTGGATCTTATCAAAAAGCTCAAGATAAATTGCAGGGGCACAGAACCAAATATGGCGGCAATATTCTAAGCATGGTCTCATGGCAGACTTCTAGATATGCAACATAGATTCCGGAGAGAAAAACTGTCTCGCCCGACACAGTGAACCGACTTTCTTAGTAACAGATCTCGCAATACATTCAGCATAGTCTCTTTACCTCATATCACCTGGGAACGTTAACCCGAGAAGGCGTAATGAGATATTTTCCTGGAGGATAGCATCAGCCGCACTGATGGAATACAGATTGCAATCTCTCAGATGATTAATAGAGAAAATTTTACTTTTGGAGGCGTTAAAATTGACATCTTTTATCCCAGTTAACATGTACATCAGCTTCTATTTTGACTTTGTCGGACTGAGCAGCGTTATTATCGAGGCAGGAGAAAATACAAGTTCTTTTCAATTGTAGTCCTCAGTGAGTCCGTAGGCATATTCCACCATATATATATATATATATATATATATATATATATATATATATATATATATATACCTTCACGTAAAACTTCAGCATACAACGATGAAAACATACTCCAGACGTAATGAAAACATAGTTTTATCAAAATCGTTATTTTATTATTAAGAGTAAGGATCAAAGTATTTTTTTTTATTATTTAATTAAATTTTTTTACTCCTTTTTTATAACATTCGAAATTTTGATTAAAAACTCGTTTTTCTCGCGTCTGTGGTTGTACTAACTTTTAGCTTAGTAAATTTTGGCTTTTTTTTTTGCGGTGACAGACACATTAATTTAGAAATTCTTGCAAAAATCGACTAATTGTTGGATTTTAATTAAATTTTCAGGACTTATTCACAAATAAATGAAATTATTTTTGAATTTTTTTATTAGAAAATCTTCCTTACTTTATTTTATGAAAACTTGAAAAATTCAACGTGACAATTTTAATGACTCTATTAGTTAAAAACAGAATTCCTGGAAGAATTTAAATCATCGAATTCTACTTGCAAAATCGGACACCGTCTTACCGAAATTCTGTTCTGAATCGATAAATAAAAAAAAAAACGCAATACAACCAAGACATTATTTAATTATAGAATCTTTTAATTGTTTTTATGAATAATATATATTAAAGGCAATATTGTCTGAAGAAAAACAATCTGTGAAATATAAATAAATTTTTCATCTTTTACAATTTTAAATTGAATAGATTATAAAGTTTTAAATCTATTAAAATTCATTTTCAAAGTGATAATTCTTAGTAAATATTAGTAGTAAGTACAATTGTATTTACTAATCATGTATTGTAAAGTTTATTACAATCTGACGACCCCGAATATTTAAAAAAAAAAATTCGATATGTTTTTGTGTGATTATGTGCAGAGTTTCTGAAATATGGCAGCACAAACCGATAAATCCTTACTTCAAAAACTACTTCATATATATATATATATATATATATATATATATATATATATATGTCTGTGTGTGTGTCTGTCTATGTGTGTGTATGTATGTATGTATGTATGTATGTGTGTGTGTAATATGAATAATACAAAGGATGTGAAGACAGAAATGCTCTCAGACAACAGAAGTGTGAAAGATCCACTCGTCCTGGTACGTTCTGACGATTGGACCGACGAACGATTGCAGAAAGCTTTGTCTACGAAACTCTGGAGTAGAAGTGCTGATTATAACATCAAACAGCATAGTAATAAATTTTATATTTGTATTAATCATATATATATATATATATATATATATATATATATATATATAGAGAGAGAGAGAGAGAGAGGTATAATGAACAGAAGTAGATAGATACAATCTGAGAGGTAAATAGATAAAATAGAAAAATGTAAAAATGATACATATATATATATATATATATATATATATATATATATATAGATAGAGAGAGAGAGAGAGGATAGAGAGAGGGTGATAGAGAGAGGGTGATAGAGAGAGGAAGATAGTGAGAGGGGGATATAGAGAGAGAGACAGAGAGAGAGGGGTAGATAATGAATAGATAGATAGATAGAATCTGAGAGGCAAATAGATAGAAATAGAAAAAAGGACTTAAAGAAAATTATATATATATATATATATATATATATATATATATATATATATATATAATAATAATAATAAAGAGAAAAAACAGTAGGTTTTTATATTATACAATCTCACAGCATATCGTGAAATTAATATAACTGACATTGGATTATACAGAGACGATGGACTTATGGTTATAATAAACTCTACAGACTTTTAAATCGATAAAATTAGAAAGATATTATATAGATTATTTAAATGCCTGAACTTAAAAATTACTGTAAGCAGTAAATTGAAAAAGTGAACTTCCTTGATATAACATTAGATCTAATGAAAAATATATACATACCTTATAAAAAACCAATACTAATCTTTTGTATATACACCCTAACTCTAATCATCCTCCATCTATAATTAAGCATATACCTTTTTCGATCAAAAAGAGAATAAGTACAAATTCAGCAAATGATAAGATTTTCTGTGAACATTAATTTCTATAATAGATGTCTAAGAGATAGTCGCTACAAAAGCCCAAAACTAACTTACATAAAAAATGAAAACGGAAAGCATAGAAAAAACAGAAGTAGAAAAATAATTTGGTATACACCCCCATACGACCAAATGATAAAGAACAAATTAAGACAAAAATTCCTTACATTAATTGTTAAACATTTTCCTAAAGATAGTAAACTCAGTACTATTTTTAATAAAAATACCCTGAAATTAAGTTAGGTGGTACTGAAATCTTAGAAAAAATTATTTAGAAACATAATGTTAATAATAAACACTTAGACCAAGAGTAAAGAAATTTAGACAGTATAATAATCAAAAAAGTTGAAGATAAACGAAAATTATGTAACTGCAGAAATCCTCATAACTGTCCTCTTAATAATAAATGTTGCACTGAATCATTAGTGTACCAATGCAATATCTCATCTATTGAGCATCCAGACAACATAAAAGTCTACATTGGATGCACAAGACATGAGTTCAAGAAATGGTTCAACCAATATCAAAGTTTTTTTAGGATAAATAAATACCGAAATCAGACATCCCTATAGAAATATTTCTGGCACGTAAAAGAAAACAATAAAACACCTACTGTGAAATGGAAATTAATAACAAAAGCTTGAATATGTAGGTC